AAGAAGAATTATGTCGTTAAAAATTATTTAAATTTGATAACAAAAAGAAATATTTCCAGTGTGTTTCTTTAAGAAATTATTGTTTTTATACAATTTTATTTACTGAAGTATAATTAGTAATATGTAATACACAAGTAGTATAATATTTACTTAAATATAATTAAAAAACAAAAGAGAAAATATTGTTTGGAAACACACTGAAATATACAGCCATTAGCCCGGTAGTACTTGCGTTACATAATTTACAATTAAATTAGAATAAATCGCAAGTAATACCGACCCAGGTCTCACCACTAGGAGGTTGCTGTTTTCGGAGACCCACGGGCTAAGACTCTACTTCTAACATTTATTTTTCTAAAAAATTCATTTTTTTCATTAATCATTTATTAGAAAAGAATTTTTTTTTTTAAAATGCAACGCGTAAAACGAGTCAGACATTTTTTCTTTCAACTTATTATTCAAGTTGAATGAAAAATAATGAACATCGTTTTAAATCGATCCTACTTACCCGATTTACAAACCTAAATTAACGCAAACATGCAAACGCTTTGACGTAGATTCGATTGAAATTTTAAATACAAAATGCAAGTTTTTTTTATTCAACAAATGCAACAATGTAGACAGTTTTAATTTACATTCGACCGAAACTTACAATGTAACAACACGCAAATTGTTACAATAGGAACTCACGCAATTTTATGTGCACTTACGTGTGCATTAAATATTATTTTAATAATAATAAGAATTCGTAATGAGATATCAAAAATATACATCATATTATTGAATAGAAATAATTTAACAAATTCTTGTTGCATCACTCATCTTATTATCATACTTATCGATAACCGATTTTATTATCTTATCATCTAATATATAATTCTATCTATCACTAAATCCTCTTCAGATGCTATTAACAATATTGCTATCTGTGAACAGAAACAATCTAAAAAACAGATTTATAATTAAACAAGAATCGATGAAAACAAAAAGTCACCAGTGAAAATGTTCTGAAAATAAATGCATAATTGATATACTAAACCAAATACCAAAAATTTGTTCACACACACACACATACATTCATACATTCATACATTTAGACAAAAAAACCAACACCACGACTACTACGAGAAAACAAACTAGAAACAGTGGAATAGAATCTTGCCAATATCGATGAACCTAAAACAAAAATTAATTTTATATTACTACGCGTATAACTTATACGTAATTTTTATTAATATATTTTTATATCCTAAATAATTGCATTACAAACCTTAGGATATCATTGCAGACATTGTTGTAAATATCCATTGCAAAATAGTATTTTGCAATATTAAACCTTACAGCTTGAAAACAACAGTACTTTCTATAACAAAAAACTAGATAAAAAGGGCATGTGTGGAAAAATGAAATTCGATGTATGATCCACGATAGAAACTTTTCAATTGGATTATTTAATAAATAATGAAATTGAAAAAATGAAGAATTTAAATGACCAAAAAGTGGACATTACAAAATACCGAATTCTCGATGCATTAGAAAATGTGTTTTTCTATATTTTAACACAAGCGAATATGAAAAAATGCATGTCTCTGATGCATGCTTTTTTTAATATACAATATATGAATAGAAAAATATTTCTATTTCATACAAAATTATTAATCGATTAATACAATTACAAATACATACAGGAAATTATTCAAGACACATTATAAAAAACTTAAATAATTGTGAATATATCACAATATTTAAAAATTATTAAACACCGCTTTCAAAGGAAAAAAAAATAAACAATATTGCACCTTGCGTCGTATTACAAAATGCATACGCAATTATGTATATCGCCATAACAATAACCATAACRAGATCAAATCTATGTTTGATCGATAGAATACACATAAATCTTTTATTTAATTACATTTATATATTAACGCGAAGTATGCAGTTACATCGACGAGTGTCTGATTTACATATTACACCACTTAAATATATACAAGACACTTTTTTATTTTTAATAAACTATAAAAAAATAAAAAATAGTAATACAATATCACAATTTTCGAAGCACGTATTTTAAATAAATATGAATTCAAGTGTATACAATGCAATATGGAATCTTAAAAGAAGAAGAAAAAATTGAAATTCAATATACAATAATATTAATTGAACAGTTAAACAAAATTGATAATTAATTAATTGCTATTGCTTGCTTTAACAGATTCTAAGCTAATCAAGTCTTATAGATTGTTAACCGGAATAATATGAGTAATTTTGATTATTAATTAGGAGGATGATTGACTCTAATTGGACTAATCAGATTAGCCCAGATATTTGGAATAAAAAAAATATATAAAAAAATGTGAAGAAATATACACAAGGTGATAATGGATCTTCTGCGACCACGTAGGAGAGATATAACTCTCGTGGAAGCTATGATGATTAGGGTGAATATTAAAGATGAAGCGTATTACTAATCGTCGAAGAGTGCGATATTTGTTGTAATACGCAACTATGATTGAA